CATAATATCGTGGACAGGATTGCGATCGTATCGTTTGTATCCCCAAAAAACCCAGAAATATTTTTTACCCCATATGTCACCGACGCTGTGTATTGCGTACATACCTTTTGAATAATTGTATCGATCTTGTATCATATATACCTTCATATATGTAGGATATTTGAAAATATCCTCTAGAGGTATAGCAGACGTGGCGAGCATATTGTTTCTAATAAAAGTGCCACAGTTACGTATCTCTTTGTAATAAGTAATGGGAACGATGCAATCAAACTGAGGATCATCTTTTACCCAGGTGAATTCCGATTCCAAGGGGTCGGCTGTGGGGACCCACCATAGGCCCAGCGCAGACGGTACTAGGGAAAAAATTATTACTTGAATGTACCTGAAAAAAAAGTAAGTAACTGTATGTACATACCACCAATGGCCGAATTAGTTTATTTATCATGACTGCGTACTGAAGGTGAAAGGTCGATGGTATTCAGTCCAATAATTTGGTAGTTTGGAGTAAACAGGTTTATGGATGTTTGAAAGATGTGTTAACGATTGAAAATGATAGCGTATTTTTACTCCACATATTTTACGTTCCTCGTAAATCCAACAACCCCTCAAAATTCCCTTTCCACCCTTTTTCTCATAAGGAAAGGATGGGAAGTGGAAGTGGACTTTCCGGATGAGAGGATGAATGGAAAGGGAAAATATTTTCTTTCTGCGCATCCTCTCCTCCGTCGATTAATGGTAGGCAACACATATGCAATTCCGTATGTCTATGGGCAACTGTCACTTCGCTATTTCAGCGATTTCAGGTGGCCGCCCGTTTGCCACCTTATGATATAAAAAAATCCAGAAAATCACTTTCCCACGTCAAATAACCATATCAAACAATTTCACATCACTTTATCTCAAAACTTATATCACATTACGACTGTCCTGATAAAAATATGAAAGAGTACTGGCTAAGCTCCATAGTTAGTGTTTGTTTACACGATTTTGGTGTTCATTTGGGTATAGTTATAATAATTACTTACATATTTATCACTTCAATGCACAACTTCAAATTAACTTGGCAAACGGTTGAGTGGTCTTATATAAAATTATTTGTTTGTTTGTAAATCCGATTTCCCTCTGTTCATCTTTCTGTTTACAAAATATCTGTATGTAGCTACTATTACAGAATGTAATAATTAAAATGTGTAATTAATTATTACTTGTAACCGTGTGTCTTCATTGAATAGAGGTCTTCTTCATCTTTTTTTTTCTCAGCCATAAGTCGCCCACTGCTGGGCATAGGCCTCCTCCAAAGATCGCTGCGATGACCGGTCCGATGCTACCTGCATCCAGGACGCTCCCGCAGCCTTGATTAGGTCATCGGTCCATCTTGCGGAAGGCCTGCCCACGCTGCATCGACCTGTCCGTGGCCGTCACTCTAGGACTTTGCGTAATGTTAGGGCTCATCTTAGCATTGCGTTATTTGTAGACCTTAGCCTGGCCGAGTAATTTCCTTCTCTTCGGTCTGTACGTGGTCAATATTCTCCAATTTACAATACCAACGTTTAATGTGTCACAATTTACAGTGTATATCCATCTATGCTGGTCTTCGATCTCAACGATTCTTCAGGCATTTGGACACCCTGACTTAGTATCCTCTGCACATGACCAGCTTATTTCAATCTGGTTAGCTTTATGAAAGAAGCTATGAGGTCCTTGGATGAAGTCATACTGTCCTTGATTAAAATGTTTCCGCAATTAATTTCTCTCACAAACAGCACTAAATTTACATCTCTGCTTTTTTATCTCCAACATCGGCAGGGTGGTCTGCACCTTTATGCTGACAGTACAGATGTTAAAATCATAACTGTGGATAGGTCTCAGGAGCGTCTTGTAGTGTAGCAATTTTATTTTCCGGATCAACAGATTGAAACAAAAGTATTTTAAAAGGCCCAAATAGCATTTACCAGCTGTCAATTACTGTCAATATCTCGTTCTTTCTAATTACTAATTACCCTAAGTAAAAAAAAAATCTAGCTACTACTACCATGAAAGTTCTTTTTAAGTAGTGTTTTTGAGACATATTTATACATTGTTTTATGTGCATGCATTATATAAGTGAGAACCGGGCTTCTTGTGATGCTTCTTCAAGAGCAGATTATGCACATTACTTTTCGAGCCTATTCCTGACTGTAATATCTATATCGTCTGCATATTCAAGGGTTTGATTGAACTTATCGTATATGTCCGTAAGTCATGATCCTAAAGTCTCCGATACAATTTTTTAGAACTACGTTGGATTAAAGACGTGAAAGTGCAACACCCTGTCGAAAATCGTTACATGTGGCACCGGCATGGAAAAGTCTGATTGCACTTTAACCATACATTTTGTGTTGTTCAAAGTAATTTTTATTAGGTTGATAATATTTTTCAAGGATGCCCGTTTCTCTAATCTCTTCAAGCAGGAATGTATGCTATACATTATCGTAGGCGCCTTCGAAATTTAAAAATAGTATAAAACGTAAGTTACATATACCAGTTCCCAAATAAACAACGACAATAACTTCAAAACATAATTGTTAAGGGTTTGGATATCTGGTTGTGGGTTCGAATCTATCACTTGATTGATTTACGAGTATTTAGGGTGTTCTTATTTGATAAGAAAATAATAACCATAGTTAACTTGGTCGTTTTACTTAATATATATTTAATAAGTTAAGTTGTGATTTTTTGGTGAGCAGCGTCTTCTTTTCAATTCTTATTTCGTTTTCTGTTTCTTCTTCTTCTGGCACGCACGCTTATCATACAAAACACAGAATGGCTTCCACATCACGCCTGTTTTCTATGTGGCCGTAGTATTTCGACCCGGCCTATTCGTGCACTCAACAAATACTGTTGTGGTGGGTTCTATCATTGTTAAATATATAGGCAATTGTGCTAGAAGCGTTTTTCTTCCTTCCCTTTATTGTAATTTCAATGCGAGATATAACAACCTTTGAAAAACTTTTGAAAATTTTGCACATGTTGGCTAGCTTTTGTACCAAATGATGTATTCATTTAGACTGAATAATCATTTAGTCCACAACCTCATATATTACGTATTTCCTTCTGTAAAATATAAAAAAATACAGTGAACATCAGATTATAACTACTGGTAATAAAATTTTAGGCTTTAAAAATAAATCTGCAGTGACAAGTTACAAAGTAAACATAAGAATGACTTCTTTAAATATTCAATCATAAAAATAGTATACGGAGACGTGCTTTTCTTTTATTCATTTTATCGATTATTATAACAATAGATAGATTATTATTATTTAATTAATGTTTTAAGCTTTTATCAGGCAGTACTTGCAGGTCATTCAACTGTGAATATTTTAAATGTTGGTTCACATACAGAGTCACACATAAAGTTACTTCCCAAACCACGACCCGGGCGTTGTCGCGAAAAACTTTTTATAAAAACCATAAATCATACGTCTGTATGGTCTCAGATCGGTATATGCATAGATGCTTTCTTTACCTCTTCTTAACGAAAACGAGGCGACACCCCATATTCTATTGTTTTGTATCAAAGGTGCTCCCGAGTGAATGACGGGGTATTTGTCGATGTTCATTATGCAAATGAAGTAGCCCCAGTACTTGGGGATGAATTCCTGGCAGTCCACCAGCACCGGCTCGTCCCAGTAGATGGGCACTAGCTTTGAACTGCTCTTCACATGGCGCCAGTCTGTCAGGGCGAATGCGGCCGTCTTCCATCCACTCGGCTCCTCAAGGGCGTACTGCTTGGCCACAGGCATATAGTACGGTACTCTCTTTGCCGCGTTGGAAGTGTTACCCACTGCGCGGGCAACGTACAGGAACATAAGATCGTGGACAGGATTACGCTCGTATCGTTTGTATCCCCAAAACACCCAGAAATATTGTTTACCCCATATGTCACCGACGCTGTGTATTCCGTACATACCTTTCGAGAAATTATACTTATCTTGTATCATATAAACCTTCATATATGTAGGATATTTGAAAATATCCTCTAGAGGTATAACAGACGTGGCGATCAAATTGTTTCTAATAAAAGTGCCACAGTTACGTATCTCTTTGTAGTACGTGATAGGAACGATACAATCAAACTGAGGATCATCTTGTACCCAGTTGAAGTCGGTTTCAAATGGATCGGGAGTGGGACCGGGAAACCATAGGCCTAGCACAACCTGTACTGAGGAAAAAAATAGTACTTGAAAATACCTGTAAAGCAAAAACTTTAATAAGTAAATAAGAACTATTCATAAATTTTATTCACCATGTATAAGTAAGCTATGTTTGTTTATAATATTTTAGTGGTCATTTGGGAAGAGGTTTATAATTACAAGTAGTTTTTTTGTTCGTCCGCGTGTTTTTTAAAAGTTAGTAACAAGATTTTGCCCCCTTTTTAGACCTTTACAGGACAAATTTGGACAAAACACTTAGTTATTTTTTTTTACAGAAAAGTACTTATTTATGCCAAAGATCGCGTTATTCTGTAGAAGGAATAATAATAATAAAAAATGCTTACATTTTTATTCACTTCACAAAAGAACTTCGAACTGACTTGTTAAACCTTTGTGTGCGCTCTTTATATGACATTCTTTGTTTGTTTGTGAACGTGATTTCCCTCAGTTCATCTCTCTGTTTACAAAATAATTGCATCTTAACACCATAAAACGGAATCAGTTTTAGATTATACTTAACTATAAAGGAAAATTATAATATTTTTCGATTATTTATGACGAAGCAAAAAAACGGCTAAACACTCACTTATATTTGTCCCGTGTCGGCACCGACTAGTTTCGAACCCTTTGGGAGCTGTTTATTAAGGTGAGTGGAACTGGTATTCTTCACGGACGCGGTCCGTTATACACCGGTGCTGACACCGAACATTCGTGAGTGTTTAGCCGTTTGTATATAATATTATTTGAAGAATCTTGAATTGAATTTTTATACGAATAAAAGGCTTGTTATTTATAACAGATGTTTTATTGAACATAAGCAAAGGATACATCGCTTGCTATTCCACAAGCATTCCTACCACGTACTAAGTAATAATACCCTTTATCTCCCCAATTTGTTCCCCAAGAGTTCTTTATAATCCAGTACGGGGTAGATTTACCGGTCTCCTTTGAAACTGAAATTATAAAGATATTGACATTTAAAAATTTCTAAAAAAAACCATACAAATAACTCCGAAGCGCCTATATTTATTTAGGAAGGAGGCAAACTTGGTTGGTTTACTTATTCTGTTCAATTTTTGTATAGACCAGTCTTTCCCAAAGTGGGCGATAACGCCCACTTGTGGGCGCTGCAGGTCTCAAGTTGCGGGTTATAGTAAAAGTTTCGTTTAGAATTCTCCGTTAATAAACATATAGGTCACAATAATTAATTAATTTAATTTGAAGTTATAGTGGTTTTTAAATATGTGAAAATATGGGGGCGCTAAAAAAATAATTATTCTCAAAGTGGGCAGTAGACAAAATAAGTTTGGGAACCACTGGTATAGACCGTTAAGACCTTTTTGGTGGCTCAAAGTTATCTCCCTACTGCGCCACAACTAGTGCGATTTTGCGCCAAGATGTTTGAAATCGATAATAAGAACGTTTGCAGTCTTACCATACGTACTGTATCCGACAATAAGGACCGAATGATCCAGATGTTTCGGCGAGCATTTTTCATCAGAGGGCTCGTCGATGCCTCCACCATAACTTTGCATTGATTTTGAATTTATTGCTAAAATAAAGGTTTGATACGCAGGTCAGAAAAAAGGTTTTGTAATAATAACTGCTATATTTAAGGTAATTTATATTACTAATGGAAATCGACACTTACTGTGGGTCTCTGAGACTAAAATCAATTTAAAACATTTCATTATCTCTGTTTCGTCCACTTGTATTACACTAAGATTTTTACCTCAGAAGCCCACGGTAAGATATAGCATAGCCGTTAAGCTGCGATGAATGCAGTAAATTAAGCGTGTTTAATAAATTCTGAAACAAAATTTGATTGATAAAGAATTATGCCTTTATATTTACTACTTTCCAGTACATGCTTACCAGCTGAAAGCGGCCCGTGGGAGGCAAGGTATTCAACCATGACGTCTTCGTTGGGATAAACGCGTTTGAAGCCAATCACTGGTACTGGTTTACTGGCACTCTTACGCCATCTACATTCCAACTTCGTATTGGCATAAGGAAAATAATTGTCTTCTGACAGTACACCGCCAAGAATAGAAACTATTTCGCTGTTGGTAAAAAAAATGATTAATATAGCAAAGTGTTTATTAACCCACTTCAAAAAGGAGCAGGTCCTTTGTTCGTCTATATGTTTTTTTTCTATAGTAATTTCTATCATTACTTACCAATCGAATGACAAATCTCATTTAAAAAAAATTTAGAAGGTTAAGGTCAGGTCGCAATAGACTATCCTTTTGGGCCAATTGCGTTTAAATCCGGACGGACGGAGTCGCGAGCGACAGCTAGTAAACAAATAATTTCATGCGCAGCTCAAATGTTTTTTTTAATTGTTAGTTTTATACTTACGCGTACGTCTGTATCAAGGATCCTGTACCACATCCCTTGCTGCTTGGGACGCAGTCTATCAGAAACTGTTCAGACAATGTAACGTTTTGTTGAAGATAGATCTGCAGATGACTCTCTATGTTAGCTGGGAATTAGATAAAATATTATAATATTGTCTAAATGTAATGTTAAATACTATTGGGTTCCAAAACAACTAGATTTCTCATTGAAAATCTGCACTAAGTGAGTCTAGCGTAGGTTTAAGAACAGTGTTTTTAACTAACTGTGCCAGCGACTTCATTCGCGTGAAATACTGTTTTTGAGCTGCGCGCGGTACTGGACAGTACTTGGACATTGCAACATTACTTTATTTTTGTAAAATAAAAGAATTTTCCTTAAATAAACGTAGCCTAAATTACTCCTTATTACATCAGCTACCTGTCACTAAAAGTCCGGTCAATATCGGTCCAGCCATATCAGAGATTAGCCTTAACAAACAGACGGACAGACAAAAATTATAAAAAGTGTTATTTCACTGTGTGTACCGTATTAATAAGAACAGTTATTTTAATATTACAAACATACACTTCAATTTTATTTATATTTATAGATGGATTTTTTTTATATCATAAGGTGGCAAACGAGCGAGCGGCCACCTGAAATCGTTGAAATAGCGAAGTGACCGTTGCCCATAGACATACGCAAATGCATATGCGTAGCCTACCTTTAATCGACGGAGGAGAGGATGCACAGAATGAATACATTTTCCCTTTCCATGCATCCTCTCATCCGTAAAGTCCACTTCCACTTCCCATCCTTTCCTTATGAGAAAAAGGGTAGGAAGAGAAAGATGAATAAATTAGGCCTCCGGGATGCACACTCATCAGACGAAACGCGGAATAGCTTCCACTTGACGCCTGTCTTCTGTGTGGTCGTGGTATTTCACCGGGCGAGCCGGGCCGATTCGTGCGAAGATGTTAAAGCGGGCTCTACCACTGTTAAATGGATGTATGTATATGTATAAATTAAGTACCAACAACACTAAAGGCCCAGCATGCAGCACAAGTTTGTTGATTTTTGACAGGCGACACTTTGCCATTAACTCTCCAATCTACATAAGGTGGTGCAACCTTCAATGTCTTGTGAAGATTCGCTTCATATGCAACAAATACTTCTTTTAGTTTTTCAATATTTAAAATATCACTTAGTAAAGATGAATCAACTAATGAAATGCTAAGAAATAATAACAAATTCAGACTATTCTTTAACGGATACATGTTTAGTTATGTTAACGTAGACAATTTTTTTTAAAATTTATATTGCAATAAAGATAGTAAAATATAAAAAAGTCTTAAAATATTTGCTGCAACTGATTATTGTAAATGTTAACAATTATATATCCAATACTCTCATTGTCTGTACGTTACATTTACTTTTGTTACTACGATTTTTCACCAACGAAGCAATTGTAGAAATATTTCTATCCCTATTCTTTTCAAAGAAAACGAGAGGGATGACAATTAAAAATATGATTTTGTATAATACAATTCTGTACACCCAGTTATTCTAAATCCTTAAGAATTCATCTGGACTGTTTTAGGAATGATTTGCTTGAGCTAAAAGAAATGGCACATGAGATATCGTTTGGTTTTATTTTTTTTTTCATAAGGTGGCAAATGAGCGAGTGGCCACCTAAAATCTATGAAATAGCAAAGTGAAAAAATCCACTTCCAATTCCCATCCTTTCCTTATAAGAAAAAGGATGGGAAGGGAAAGAGAACTAAATTAGGCCTCCGGGACGGGAAGTTTTGTTACAAAAAGCGGGTAAAATCACGTGCCTAATATAGTTTTTTTCTTTTACATTTTATTGTCATACCTATGTGACTCCAAATCATCGTAAATATGCAAGGATACATTTTGTTCAAACACTTACATTTGACTTTGAAATTCATTGCCTTTGGAATTTCCTGATAATAATGACTGAATATTTTAACTATTATCTGTATTTCTGATATAAAGATCTTTCCTATTCTAAATTTAAATTCATCAGAACAAAAAAAAATCGTCATTAGCTCGCTATACGTCCCCACTAAGGGGCTCGGAACCAACCTTAAGTTGCGGGTGATTAGGTCCAAAGAGACCGTTGCCCATAGACATACGCAATTGCATATGCGTTGAGTACCTTTAATCGACGGACGAGAGGATGCACGGAAAGAAAATATCTTCCCTGTCCATGCATCCTCTCATCCGGAAAGTCCACTTCCACTTCCCATCCTTTCCTTATAAGAAAAAGGGACTTAATTAGGCCTACGGGGCGCACACTCATCAAACGAAACGCGGAATTATTTCCACTTCACGCCTGTCTACTGTGTGGTCGTGGTATTTCACCGGGAGAGCCGGGCCCATTCGTGCGAAGATGTTAAAGCGGGCTTTACCACTGTCCCATCTTAAAAAAAAGAATGTAGATTAAAAAAAAAGAGGAAATAAAATTTTAAATAACCTCGTTGGCAAATGTTTTATAACCAACTTCTTGATGTGCTGGAAGTCTGCATAAAGTTTTAATTGATCAATTTAACTTGATAGTCGCACTTTTGAGCGTAGATTAGAGTTTTCATTGTTCTGCTCAAACTTTATTAACTATGTTATTACAATCGTTGAAAACTATTTTAATCGTTTACTTGCTCTTTAATACTTTATTGGTAGTTGTAAGTTGAAGTTGATTTAATATTTCGTTACTTTGTTTTTTATACACCACTATCGTACAGGATACTCTAATCAGCCGAAATAAAGTTAGAAACCTAAAATTAGTAGACTGAGAATTTTTTCCTCCTGTTATTGGATAAATTATCAGTTCTATTGTGTTAAGTATTGACAACTTTTCTTAGTCTTACTAATAATAAATGCGAATGTTTGGATGGATGAATGTTTGTATCTCCAGAACGACTCAACACAGCTTGATAAAATTTGGCATCGATGTAAAACTTACCCTGGACCACATAGGCTACTAAGTTTTATTTTAATTCCGCACAGACGGAGTCGCAGGCGACAGCTTGTGTTACAGAATTTATCTGTTGTGTGTGCATGTATCTTACTTCTTACTTATATACTATAAATGTGAATGTTTAGATGGATGGATGGATCTCGATGAAATTAAGAATACATTCTGGAAGAACACATAGGCTACTAATTATGTTATTTTTTAATCCTCCGCATACGGAGTTGCAGGCTACAGCTAGTAATGAATAATATTAATTAAATTTATCCTTCTCACTCGATGAAACTATTAACCTACAAACATACCTACATGCCATATATATTTCTATGAGCAATTGTTAATATCGAATCTATCCAATTGGTATAATCTGTAGCACTTCGAATCTCAAAGGCTTGATTGCGGTTTACTAAGTGTATTGTATTCCATCTTCAGTATTAAAGGATTAGAAGTCTTAAGATGTTATACAAAAGATTAAATATCGCGTAAAAGTGTTTATTGTGTAATCAAAGATATTGTTTAATACAGGAATCTGTTATAACATTTATTTATTCATGCAACGATTATACTTTAGTTTACAATATTATCTCAATAGATGGCGGAACATATTACTAGATCGCGGTATTGTTATATCTTTATATATACAATTCTTCTGTGAGTGTGTATGTCACTGAACTTCTCTCAAACGACTGGACCGATTTTGATGAAATTTTTTGTGTGTGTTCAATGGGATCTGGGAATGGTTTAGATTCACAATTTTGTCCGCTGGACAATGTTTTGTTAATTAATTTTTAATTTATTAGTAGTTGTTGACTTTGGAATGTTTTACATTGGATCCGACAGACGGCGCTACCATCGCAGTGTCAAATTGTCAGACAACGTCTTTCGGGTCCGCTAGTTTCTTATATGTATTGACCTGCCGGTTGCATTTCAGTAAAATTGACTAGCGCCAAGATATAACCAGTGTTTTATTGAGATTACTCGATACAACTCCAGTGAGAAGGAGACTTTTTGAGTCTGTCTTACACAACGCAAATCTGCTAGATCCGAACTCGAATGGGGTCTCTTCAGGATATAATATTTTGTTTTAGCTTTAAACAACTCACACCTGTAACCCAGAAGAATAGGCAGAGACCACGGATCTCCATTTGGCCTGACCAAAGAATCCTCACAATCCACTTTTTACCATTTCGGAAGACGGAACGTGACGGCTGACGAGTCGCCGTCGTTGACCGTAAGAAACGACGGATAAATGTACATATGAAAAAAACGCATTGGTACATGGCGAGATTCGAAATCAGGAATTTCAGATTAAATGACAACTGCTTAACCCCTGAGTCATCGACGCACTTTTAGCGTTAAATGCATGCGTGGTGTATTTATTTTTCGAACGAATTCCCGAATTTCTTGTTATAAAGCATCTAGTTTCACTAATTTGTTAAAAGTCTGTATTCAAAGAGTACTTTTAAAAGTATATACAAAAATTCTTGGTAATAAACAATTTTTTTTGACCTGAATTTTCCTCCATGCAGCGTTCAGTTTGTCACGTTGTTTGTGAGTCGTGGTTTAGTGAGATACGGTTCCAAACTGACAGCAACAATTTGACTACGTTTTCCGGTATCGTTTTGGAGGACTTTTTATTTCTATAGTCGAAAGCAGAAAGAATTTATCGCTATGCACGGTGACATATTGTTCTAGTACGACATTGTTGTCTGAATAATACCATATTTCTCAATTTTTTTTAACGACGTAAAACGCTTGGATAGATTAAAGTTAGTTAACGCTCTTTATAGTAAATCCTAGATTATATTCTTAGTTAATTATGTATTACTCATTATTGTTTAGACTGTGTACCCCTTTTAGCTAGGGGTTCAGTGCGACTAAGAAAAATCATTATCAATAAAACATGTTATTATTATGCATTCGAAAAGCTGGGAGAATATATTATTAAGTATTAGCTGTCGCTCACGATTCCGTCCGCACGGAATTAAAAAAAAACTAAATGACTAGCCTATGTGTTCTTCCAGACTATGCCAATTTTCGTTAAGATCTGTTAAGCCGTTCCGGAGATATATACCTTCAAACAAACATCAATCCATCTAAACATTCACATTTATAATATTAGTATGATTAGTTTTAATAAAGAAACAATCTATTAAAAATTGTCTAAAATATTTACATATTGTATTACATACGCTGATTTTTAGCAGGGAAGAAATACGTTAAAAAAAACCTTGTATCTGACAGATAAGAAAAAAGAAATGTCGCTTTTATTACTCGGAGTATACACAACCTGCCATTGAATGAATAAAAACAGTGATATATTACTTGGATAACTGCCAAAGATAAACAACAACTCTACTATCGTTAATCTAGTCTGGTTGTTTAGTAGGTAAGTGCAAAGATAAGCCATGTACTTGGCCTGCGTAGTTTAATATCCATATGTTAACAGAACATAATCACTATCTTTCTATTATTCTCTTTACCGAGGTTCGAGGCTTGTATGTATTACGAGGTATCGCCCGCAACTCCGTCCGCGCAGTATTAAAAAAAACTTAATTGGTAGCCTAAGTGTTCTTCCAGACTATCTTCTACATTTATGACAAATTTCAACGAGATCCATGCAGCCATTCTCGTGGTATACCTTCAAACAAACATCCATCCATCCATACATTCGCATTTATAGTATTAGTAAGATATATATTTTGTGCACGGAGTGTCGGTCCGGTCAATCTTCGGTTCCTTGAAAACTAGTGGGAGAAAGAATAAGAGCACAGCAGCGTTGTGGAATGGTCTGTCCTCGGCGGTATTTCCAAACCGCTACGACTTAGGGTCCTTCAAGAAGCGAGCTTATCGCCACCTAAAAGGCCGGCAACGCATCTGCGGTTCCTCTGGTATTGCAGATGTCCATGGGCGTCGTTAAACACCTCGGTGTTCCCGCTGCTCGTTTACCCCCTTCTGTTATAAAAAACAAAGCAAGAAAAAGATAGGGAGAGAGAGAGAGAGAGAATATTTTAATTACCTTATATGTATTTACAATATGCAGATTATCCAAACGGCTAATTAAATAGTTCAAGACACGCAATCAAAGGGGCGACGGCATGTTACTATCCCGCTGATGTTCTCAGTAATGGAACAAAGGGCGATTGTGGAACTGATTGAGCCGTACTAAATACTTCACATTATTGAAATACTAAACAACGTACAAGAAATTGTTTTTTAATTTGTATAATAATTTGAAGACAAATCTATCTTACTTATTGAAATTATTTATGCGAATGTTCA